CTTTATAGTTATTTCAAGAATATTTTCAGCAAAAGTAAATATTTGTTGTTTAAACACAGACATATGAGTAACATTTAGATTTTTTTATTTTTTAACCCCTGGTTGCTGAAAATATGTATAATAGTTAAACCTACAGCATGGCATATTACATAGTCTTATACTCCAAATCTACTTTGTCATGTCTACAACATTTTTGCCTATAAATCTTCTTGCTTGGGAAATTTTGCAATGGCCTTTGGCCCAAAACAACAAAGTTTTATCCTAGGCTTTAAAAGAGTCATACCTGTTTTATGATTGCGGCATCAGTGGAAAGGAATTCAAGACTCCTTAAGCTAATTCTACATAAAAGTCATAATACTTTATTATTTGTCATTGCATAAGCAATTTAAAGGATGTTTTAAAATAAAATGATACCAATAAATGCAGGGTATATTTTATTTAGTCATAGCCAAGTGTGGTTTTGCAACAAATATAAGGTGTACAGCTATAATATGTCCAATGTGTAAGATTCAACAAAAATTATTTAATCTAAATTTTATTAGAATAAATAATCTAGAATCTATTTTCTAGATTTTTAAAATGGCCATTGATAAATGTTCTTTCATCCTCCTCTGGAGCAGTCACAAATTATGCAGGGAAGCCATTTCCTAGATTGGCTTGGAATTAATGAACTAAGGCTCTTCTGCTAAACTGTGTTGTCCCACTCCTGGCTTCCCCCAGACAGTTCAAGAACAATGTAATTTGCTTTAATTGTAGATGGTATTCCTATAATGTTCTCATTCATGAAATTAAGGTGGTCAAAGGGAAATAATTTTCATAAAGAATGTTTTTCGCTGATATGATTCCTTCTAAAAGAGAAAATCATTTTACCTAAAGTTCAATTAGGGACAAATATAGTATAAATGGCCTCTGTAACAGTAAGGCTTCAAATATACAAGATGCTGAAACATTATTTTCCATTGGCTTTCCTAGTTCTATGCCAAACATGTCTTGGCTGCAAACATGTCCTGTCTGCAACAGAAGAATGAGGAGGCTTTGGGGGAGAAAAAGGACATAACTAAGGATATGTCTTGAAGGGTATAGCTGAAATCTGGCACTTTGTAGAAATTTTGGAAAATGAATAAAGCTCTTTTATAATTCTAACTCTATAGGTAGGATCCACTACAAACTATGGGAACTTTATAATATATCCCTTAAGAAACCCAACCCTTTCCAGAGAAGTGACAGTGAGCCATATGGTTTTCAGAGATGTAAGGTTGATGAACAGATTTTATGTTCTGACAAAAATCTATTTTTAAGGTAAGGAGGAAAAAAAAAGATAAATTTTACTGAAAGCAAAACAAAAACAGAAAAACGATCATAGCTATTGAGGACAAAGACCAAAACCTTTTCAACCCAGGATGAATTAAAACTAATGAATTAAAAACTAATATTAAAAGGAAGAAAATTAGTAAGCTGTCACATTAGTCCAAAGAGTCCAACAGGTGTTTGTTGTTAAGCAAAAGCTATAGAAATAATACAGTAAAATCTTGATATATTACAGAACCAAAACAAATAACAACAAAAAGCAAAACAAACAAAAGCTACCACATAAGAGTTCATTTTAACCTTAAGAATCTGGTATAGCAGTACATTTTCTCAAAGGATTGAAACAATTTTAACCCCAGCTGCCACTTAGTTTATCTAACAATAGACTGCTTAAAGATGTGTCACTTCTGGTGAGGCTATTCATTTCACCTAAAGTGCATAAAGTTTAAGCCTCAGAGTAACTTTATCACATATAGATCATGTGCAGACTAAATACAGCACTTGTGCCTGATTCTGAATGGTATCTTATATCAAAATGCTCCCTCACTTATAGCTCCTGCTTCTCAAACTGCTCTTTCAAACTGGCAAAAGCTGCCTATAGTAACCAAAATTGGATTCATGCAGAAAAAATATATTTTAGGAAAACATGTGCAACAAGCACCTAAGCATCTGTTAACACTAAAACCAGACGGCAGTATATGTTGCAGAGCACATAAGAACAGCCTTTAAAATTTAGTAATTCACAGCATTCACTTTGAATTATTATGGCAATCTTTTAAAGCAACACACCACAATGGCACAATCATTTCATTTGTTTGACACGTGTTTATTGAGCATCTACATGCCAGGCACTATGCTGGGTGCTAAGGATACAGTGATTAGTAAAAAGACACATAAAGTGCTATAGGTTTGTATAGTTTCTAGGGCTGAAAAGCAGGAGGTTATATTGCTAAAACTATAAAAGAGAAAATAAGATCATCCTCTGATTTTTCCATTAAAGGCAGCCATCCTCCCACCACTACCCTTATGAAGTAACTGAAGCAGATAACTGGGGGAAGGAAGGGAGAACAACAACAGGCAATTAGGGGTGAGGATTAGGAATGAGCTCACACTTTTCCCAATCCTTATTTTTCTTGTCCCTTCATTGATCAGATAAACATGGGATAAGAAATGGGAGAGTATCCTGGGATTAAGGAGGTTTGGACTACTGGTAATAATAGGACTAGGTTGTGAGGAATATTAATAGAATAGAGTTTTTGGGGACTCACAGGGAGGGGTAAAAAAATCATCAATCAAGAGTAACAAAAGGGAAAGGCCTGTGAATGTGGCAAAGATGAGTCACCAACTGGAGTGAACATTTATATGTTATATATGTTGGCAAGACAGTCACTAAAAAAGTAAGCCCTATTGAGAATGCACTAGAGACACATCCATTCAAATGACTGGCAACCACTAACGGCTCCTTAGATATGGGGTGCATGATAGGCACTGACAGCATATAAATAAAAGGAAAAGAAGAAATGCATCCTACACCATTGGAGTATTTACAATGTCATCCATCATGCAAATTGTAAAGTGTCACATATAAATCTAGCTATTAATCATTTATTCTTACTACAGACAAGGAAGCTTTGCTCCAGACAGGGTAAATGACTTAACAAAGGTCACACAGTTATGCTTAGTGGCACGACAGGCAAAAACTCAGATAATGAACTATAACATATGTGACCAGGCATATGTCAAAGCCATAAACATGTGATCTCCAGGGAAGCCATGAGACAGACTCTATCCCCACATATCAGAAGCGAACTGCCTAATGTACTCTGGAGAAACAAAATCACTAGAGATTAATTATACATTACAAAGCTATAAGAGAAAACAGAAAAGTAGTAGTTTCCATGATTAATTACTTTGAGGCATATCTAATTAGACAGAAGTGTCCGTTTTTTTCAATCAGCCTTAAAAGATATAAATTAATATCACTCTAAACTTAACAGTTACAGAAATAACTGGCTTAGATGTTATTTTTAACACAATTATAAATTCCAGAGAAATCCAAGAAAAGACTACTCAAATATGACTAACTGAACACACATACTCTAAATCAGTGTGGGAAGAGAAAAGAAAAACTAAAGAAGAGAAAAGATAGAACTTTTTGTATGAACTCTACTGAATGGTTATTATCACTACACAGGAAATCACTGATTCCTTAAGCCTTCAAGAATGGTAGTGAAAGCACATGTACTTACCATCAAATTGGTATTAACTGATCAACACTTAAGTGCATATATAGTAATAACATTATTTGGGTGTCGGGCAGATGGGAGGGGGAGTAAGGGATGGGTATATATATATGTAATGGGTGTGGTGTGCACTGTATGGGGTATGGACGGGCTTGAAGCTCTGACATGGGTAGAGCAAGGGCTATATACGTAACCTAAACATTTGTATCCCCATAATACACTGAAATAAAAAAAATTATGTAAAAAAAGAATGGCAATAAGAGAATAATCTTTGTTGCTATATAAAAAAAAACTTCAACAGAACAGCTTCATATGAACACACATGAAATATTAATACAAACGTCCCTTTTATTCAAGAAAGACCTAGGTTAATTTTTAAAAGAGTAGTAAAGCACTTTATAAACCTTTTATTAATGAATTTTAAGATGTATACCAATATAACCTCTTATATAAAAATCTTCTTCAATATTTACTCAGTTACACTTTATAAGGACTTTATAAGGACTATACTTTTTTCAGCATGCTCAAGTCTCGCCTTCTTGGGCCATTTCCCCTCCCCTTTGGGGCTTATCATCTTCCTACTACTCACATAAATACCCTTAATGTCTTTCTTTCCCTATCCAAATCTGCTCTCAAGATAGAATGGGCAAAATCCTTACCAAGGTATAAAGTAGTCACGACACTTGAAAGGAATATACCCCCTTGTATTTTTTAAAATAGATTTTATAGTTTCCATATAATATACATCATGCCCAACACATGTACAACCTCCTCTACCCCTTGCATTTTAACAGATATCAAATACTTAAACAAAAGTAAGAAATCTTTTTGTTTTTTAGAGATGGGGTCTTGGTATGTTTCACAGTCTGGACTTGAACTCCAGGGCTGAAGCAATCCTCCTTCCTTCTGGGTAGCTGGGACTATAGGTGGGTGCCATCTTTTCTACCAAAAGTAGAATTCTTAGTCTGGGGTCCAGGGAATCCATAGATGTCTTCAGGGAATCCTTGATCTCCCAAATAGCATATCCTGAATTTTTTTTTATTATTTTAATTTACTTTTTCTTTTTTTTTTTTGCCATTAGCCCAACCATAACTGCATGGACATATCTTGAATTTTGATATTTGAAATTATATACATTTTTTTTGGAAGTCAGTCTCATCAAGTTCTAAGGGGTTAGCAGTCAAAAACAGCTAAGGCCCACTAAAGTAAATGAAATTCAAGGTCTAGACATCAGGTAGAGAGACTACAGGAATGATTTTTGAGGATAGACAGCCTTCACCAGTATCCCTAAAATCATACCACAGAGGTGGCTGCCTATAGCAAGTATCAATATGTCTCTCTTCAACTTCAATGGGAACTACAGAAATACCCTAGTTAAATAAATTACAACCAATGAAATGACTTTCAAATGTATGATAACCTCTCTCTCTCTCTTTTCTTTTAACATACCTTTAAAGCTTCTATAACAAGGTCCCTTGCTTCAAGCTCTCCTTCAAGAATACTAAATAGTGTCAGGAGTTCAGGCTTGCTGAGTTTTTCCAGATTCATCCTGAAAGCCTAAAATAAAGACAATAATCAGATAATCTTCAGAGAAGAGTTAATTTCATATAAAGAAAAAAATAAAGTGAGACAGACAAGAGCAATTACAGCATAAAATGCTTTAAGAAAGGAAATGGTTACAATTATAGAGAAACATAAGCACTTTCTGGAATTAATCACAAACTGAGCAGTAAGAGAAAATAAAATTCACTTTATTGATTTCATCACCACTCACAAAGATCAATTTTTTGTCATCTTTCCTCCAGATGTATTTACAAACAAATATCCTAGATGGTCTCAGAAAGAATCAGTCATTAATTTTGTTCACCAGAAGTTCAGGTAAAATTGTGTTACAATGAAAACTATTTCACTGAAAAATTGTTAGACTATGAAAAGATTTCCCAGTTTTAGATAATCAAATTCCAAACTGTATATAAAACATTCTGGCATCCCTCATCAATTGGTTGAAATAAAATCTGAGCAAAGATAATGTTTGGTGGGAGTATGGGAGAAATTTTTATTTTAAATTGTCTACTTTTGCAACCACTATCACAATTTTTATATTTTGTATAGTAAAATAGACTTAAATGCAAACATATATAAATCTACTTTTAAATGAATTCTTAAAATATATTGTTTAAACATTGTACTTGGTCAGGTTACTACAAACAGAATTTATTTGACTTATTAACAAGTTCACATTTCTATGAGGATTTGCATGTTCTGAGACATGTTAAATGGCAAATTGCAAGGCACAAACCCAATCCTTTCCACTAAATTTTCTCACAAACCAGATACAGACAGAAGTTGGACTGCTATACAATCTTTGAAAGATCTTCTGATAAGTGTATATTTCTAACCTCCAAAGTAGAACAAATACTATTTTCTCTCTCCCACTTTTTACTTCTAAATTGCCACTCTCATACAGTTTTCTTTAAAGTGAATAACAACATGAGTAGTTCACACACTCTCCAGTAATTCTTCACTCTTTTTAAGTTTTGGAGGCACACAAAAGAGTCATTGACTCCTTCCAGAGCTACTGCTTTTAAGTGAAGAACATGTACAAAATGGCATGTTTCACTTTGTTGTTAGATTGTGTTCCAGGACATGTAAACTCAGTTCTAACCACTAACTTTCTAACTAGTGAATTTTACCAACTAGTAATGATTCTCATTTTTTTTGGATTAGAGCTATGTCTCATAAGTTATTTTAAAACTAAAAACTGAAAAAACAAAACAAAACAAAAAACAGAAAAATCCCAACACACCTAATAAAGCTACAGTTCATACAGATGGTATACTGGAAAGAGGATGTGGCTTTGCAGTCAGATGCCACACCTGCATCTTTCTAGTTTTGTGACTAGGCAATCTTCTGATTCTCAGTTTTCTAATCTGTGAAAGAGGGATGATGGTATCTAACTCATAGGGTTGCTGTGAGGATTGAGTTAATAAATGTAAAATATCTTACCACGCCCCAGATACCAGCTAAATAATAGTTTGATTATTAATAACTACTATCCTCTCTCATTTCCCAAAAGAATTTAAGAAAGGAATTATCAAAATTGTGGACAGATAAGATCAATGCCCTCAGAAATACCTTCAACTGCCCTTTTGTAGTTGGGAAATCCTTCTTGGTTCCATTCTAAGCTTCTTGGTAAAAAATCTAGTACTATTTGTTAGAGAGCTCAATTAAATAAGAGGTAAATATATATATAAAGAGCTAAATCAGATTGTACCTAAATCAAAATGTTTTATCTGCTATGATAAATATACATCCTCATAAAAGAATAAAATTGAAACAATCTTCATAGTCACTTTAATTTTAAAGCAGTGCCACCTAGGCAAGAAGAAATTCTATTCTTTGTCAATGACATAAATAATAATACACTTACTTGTTATCTCCATGTTTGTAAATCACTTCTGCACAAAGATTTTAATATTGGGAACATTTTACTAATATGTACCAACTCATTTAGTGTCTACATGAAGTGAATATAATACAAATATTACACAGGAGGAAAAAAAGCTACCACTATGTAACTCAAGAAACAACAGATCTATTTTTGCATATTCTAATAATATTTCCTCATAAATATTAAAATTTAACAATTCCTTCTGTTCCATCCATCTGAATCTAATCTCAATATATAGGATGTGGCAACAAATTTTTGTCTGATATATAAATTAAAAGTAGTAAAACTGCATTACATTTTAGGATGGCAGTGATATTCTCCAAAGTGAGGTGAGGTGGGGGGATGTTGATACTGACCTGATAACTGGCAGAGTCACACTTTAGTCCTCAAGTATAAATTCTTAAGGTTTTCTTCAGTTAAAATTTGGGAAAATTGACAAATATATTTACAATGCCATCAGCATGGCAGAAAAGTGTCCAATGCTGCAAAATAATAAGAAATTTGTTGTCCATGTGACCATACTGTAAACAATTTGGTAAATCCCATTAATGTCAACTATCTTAATAGCTGGTGAGATTTGACAGCTATAGGTTGACACCAACAAGAAGGAAGAAAATAGTCAGTTCTTCAAATTGAAATTGAAAAATATATGAAAAATATCAGGAATCTGACTTCTTTCTTACAACTATGACTAGAGAAGGAGGGGGGCGTTTGAGATCTTTTAAAATTTAAGATGTCCACTGCTACTTCAAACACTAACTTCTGAATGTCACTAGAAGAAATGGACTTCCTTTCCCTGAATTAACAAAAGCCTATTTGCTTAAATCATCATGGCTTATGCATACTTAGATAGAAGAATATCATTACAAAAGAAAATTTCAAATTTCCTAATTCATATAAGGAAAATTATCCTCACTTCCTGACAATCCATAAACAAGGCACCTTCTCACCACCTCAACTTTGTCTATAAGTCTGATTACATGTCCCTAGCTTCTATTTTTTTGCATTTATATCCAAATATTAATGTTTGTGTTTCCTAGCAGTATATTAGACCCAGCCGTAAATTTTATTTGATAAAATATAATTTTTATCCATATTTTAAGGCACTGAGTCTGAAAGCCATGAATTGCTGAAACCTAACAGTCAAGTAGGGACAATGTCAAAGTGGGAAGTAACAGCAATAAATTCCTAGTTGTTTCATTCAACCAAGAATCAGTCATTAAACTAAGTATGACTCTCTCAACTTAGGAGAGTAAGTATGGGTTTGTTATGCAGTCAAGAATATAGAACCCTCAACATATAGGCAAATAATTGAATAAGCTATTCTAGCAATTATTGCCCAATATGTAGGGAGTATTATGTGGCCTAGGATTTTCAGAAAAAAGCTGTTTCTAACCCCACATTCATTATCAGAAATATGACTGTAAGACTTTTGGCATGCCACATTATAGTCTACAGACTCATTCCCTACTTATCTTCCAAATGAGCTGTTCCTTGTCATTGTCATCTTTCCTTAAGTGACTTTGAAAGATATGATTATTTCAACTAGATGTTTAGCTCATTCCTTCCAAGACTCAATATTTCTTAGAAAAGTTGTAGACAAGTTGTCTGGATATATTATCATATACTTTGGTATAGCTAGCTATAGTTAAATTAAGCTTTATAGTTTTCTCAAATAACAATATATATAATAAAAAAGATAAAGATATACATATTTTAATACCCTAGAAAAATAAGCCCATTTATGGGCTAAGTATGAAACTTATTTTTATGTTATCAATAAGTGATTTCAAATGAGTTTACCCAGCATTCCATTTGGTCTATTCATATGCTTCATCCCACCAAGTCAGGGACAATGAGTCTTTCTAGATGAACTCTCAGGTGCCAACAGTCAGAAGAGTTAAGGGTATTAAGAAGCACTCCCAGGCCAGGCGTGGTGGCTCACGCCTGTAATCCCAGCACTCTGGGAGGCCAGGCGGGCAGATTGCTCGAGGTCAGGAGTACAAAACCAGCCTGAGCAAGAGTGAGACCTCATCTCTACTATAAATAGAAAGAAATTAATTGGCCAACTAATATATATATAGAAAAAATTAGCCAGGCATGGTGGTGGATGCCTGTAGTCCCAGATCCATGGGAGGCTGAGGCAACAGGATTGCTTGAGCCCAGGAGTTTGTGGTTGCTGTAAGCTAGGCTGCCGCCATGGCACTCTAGCCTGGGCAACAAAGCATGACTCTGTCTCAAAAAAAAAAAAAAAAAAAAAAAAGAAGCACTCCCCACCCCCATTGTACCTCCTTAACTGTAGTGCTGATTTTGCCCTGAAGTATGTTGGTGTGGCTTGGGCTCTGCTCATTTTATCTTGACCCTTTCCCTTCTCTCGATAATACCCAAGCTCCACTCATTCTGGTTCTGGTTGTGCTGCTTCTTTCTTGAAAGAGTCCCAGCTTCTGCTTTGGAATTCTGAATTAACTCCCTAAGATAACAGGCATTTTGCCTTTTTACCAAAAGATTCAGTGGCAGAAAAAGAAACAAACACCCTAAATAGCTTGTGTGTATAACTAAGTAAGCAGTAGGGCAGGGCAGGGCAGGGCAGGGCAGGGTGGAGTACAAGCAAGATATTTGTCTGTCTAGTATGTGGTTGTGAGTATATCTTTATGAGGAACTGAAGCCTTTCTTTCTCTCCAAGTGGTGGATGATATGGGACATGAGAGAGAAAATAATATTTTTATATGAGTCTTAGTCCTGACAGAAACACCTCAAAAAAATCTATATACCACCTGGAGGCTGGACACGCTAGAAGCTCTGGCATAGCGGGGTGGGGGAGGAGGGGCAGGGGCAAGATATGTAACCCTAACAATATTTGTACCCCCATAATATGAGGTAATTAAAAAAAACCTATTCTGATTTATTAAAAAAAATCAACCAGGCTAATATTTAATTTTAAAGTTATTTTAACTAGGAGATCACTCTTGCAAAACTAGATAAAAATCGCTATTATATAATTAGATATCAAATTTAAGAAATTTTTTCACAGGCTACAACTGACTCAGATTTAGGTCATTCAGTAAGTTTTTATTATTTGTAATCAGATATGACAAAAGATGTAAAGGAAATTTGCTCCAATTATGTAAAGACTCTTTCACATGCATATAAACAAACTCAAAATATAGGAGGCTAGTTAATTCTTAAAACTCAAAAAGACTGACATACAAAATGGGTGTTTTTGATAGCTTTCCATTAGATAATGTTCTTCCTTAAAAACCCAGTATATATGAAATATTAATAAAAAGAAATTGTCACATTTATAAATCTAAATATGGACAAGCATGCACTGCTATTTTAAAAAATGTATTCAAAGCAACCTCATGTCAGGGAGTGGAAGGTGTTGACACATTACCTTGACTATCTCAAAAGATTTAAGATTTCCCACCCTCTGGCACTTCTGGTTTTTCAGAAGGGTTATTTATGCATTTGGGGTAAGAGAGTGACAACATTCCAAATGGTCCCTCTCATTCCTCTTTGGCATTTTAGGGTCAGGCTAGGGAAGAAAAACTTGTCAACATGTTATCAGAAAATAATTTTCTGATCAAGAAAGCCAGTCTTCTGTACATTTTTTAAAGAAATCTGTTTTTGCTATTATTATTTTTGCTATTATTTCAGAACAAAAGTTCTAAAATCAAGGTATAAAAACTAATCTTATTTTATTGAATTCTATAATATTAAGCAATATAAGATTTATTACCAATATCTCAAATCAAGCTTGTCTCAGTTGAAGGTAAGAGATATTAATGGAATATTTGGATCCCTATATATAACACATGTGTCTGGGGAAACTGAGTTGTGCTTCCCCAAAATTCATATGTTGAAGTCCTAACTCCCAGTACCTCAGAGTATGACTCCATTTGGAGACAGGGTCTCAAAAGAGGTAATTAAGTTAAAATGAGGTCATTAGGGTAGATCCTAATTGAATATGACTGCTATTCTCATAAGATGATGAAATTTGGATACAGATGAGTCATAGGCAGGACGATGTGAAGATAACAGGGAGAGGAGAGCCATCTTTATAAGCCAAGGAGAGATGTCTCAGAAGAAACCAACCCCGCAGACACATTGATCTCAGACTTCTGGGCTCCAGAATTGCGAGACAATCAATTTCATTGTTTAAGTCACCTAGTCTGTGGTAGTTTGTTATGGCAGCCCTAGCAAAGTAATACAACATGCTAACCACTTACTACTTTTAAAAACTATTAGAAAAACTAATCTACTCTAATTGTATGTAAGGCATCTAAAGCTTTCCCTTTACTATGAAAGCATCATAACAGACTATTTTTCAGAATGCATTGCTTTGTCTTCTTATCAGTCTGCTGTTTTCAGCCATACTATAGACAGCATTATATAAAACAAAATGGTTTTAGAATATTTTTAGAGATTGTCAATTTCAGGATCCTTTGAGGAAGGATGTTTTGAGTTATTTTGAAATATAATAACTTAGAAATTACAACGATGCTACGGGATCAAGATGCTTGTTTATCCAATACCGTCAATATATACTTTGAAGTAGGTTTCAAGGGACCAGTTCTGTAATTAAGCTAATATTCTTTAAGGTCAACATTTATAATACCATAGTATTCTATTCGAATATACAGTATTTCATTCATATTCGAAGCAGATTCTAGGATACCAGATTATCTGGATTTATGTTTAATACAGAAATTAGTAATGATATAATTTTACTATCAACAATAATCACCACCACCTCAGAATTCTATAGCATAGTTTCCTCAGAATTCAAGCAATAATAGTAATAATGAAAAAAGATAAACATTTATTGAGCTAAACATTAATATGTGCTAGACAGTGTTGTTCTAAGTCAGGGGTCTTCAAACTTTTTAAACAGGGGGCCAGTTCACTGTCCCTCAGACCATTGGAGGGCTGGACTATAGTTTAAAAAAAACTGTGAACAAATTCCTATGCACACTGCACATATCTTATTTCGAAGTAAAAAAACAAACAGGCAAAAACACCCGCATGTGGCCCGCGGGGCCCGTAGTTTGAGAATGGCTGTTCTAAGTACTTGACATGTAGAGGTATTAACTAATTGAATCCCCGCAACAACCTTAGGTGACTAATGCCATAATCATTACCAATAAATTCTTCTTCATCACCATCATTAGTCCCATTTAACAGATGGGAAAGCTAAGACTCAGAGGCTGAATAACTTGCTCAAAGTCTCACAGCTATTATATGGCAGAAATGGGATTTGAACCCAGATAAACTAACTTCAGAGGCTTCCTTGGTAACCACTGCTACTTGGTAACTACTATTGACATCTGATCTTTGCATTTTATCTGTGTTAGGAATCACAAGGTAGAAAAAAATCTCAGCTAAAACATTATTCACAAAGTTGGAAGGGTCCTCAGAAATAATCTAATTCGGCACTCTCATTGTATAGATGAGTACACTAAGGTCAGAGGTATTATGAATACAGTTAAACAGAACTAGGCCTAGCACTCATATCTTTTTAAGATCCTGTCTTATCCATTTTCTGAGACACCAAGACAAGTATCAGAGTTTTGTTTAGTTCTAAGACTCATGCATATCTGGTGAATCTGTGTGTGTGTGTGTGTGTGTGTGTGTTTGTATGTCTTTCATTGTCTTTCTCTCATTGTCTCTCTTATATGTTGCTAGCAAGATTTATATGAATATTAAAGAAAAGGAGGAGTAGCCTTATGCCCATAAACAAACATTCAAACATATTTCTCCCCAAATGAGGGCATTAGCACAAAGCTATTAAAAACAGGTCTGTCTACCAGGATATCTGTTTACACCTTCTGAAGTATTCTCATCTGAGACAAGACCAAACCAGAAGAACTACATTAGTTAAGCTACTGGAATTAATGTTAATGAAAATAAATAATAATTTTTATAAGATTAAAATTTTTTCATTGAAAATTTCAAAACAGATATGTCTTTTAACATCAGATTGAATATTACCAGCAGATTGAATCATTCCAACGATATTTGTTAATTGGCTTTAGTTTAAATGAAATTATAACATGATTTCAATTAAACATGTATCTGTCTCTATCATTTATCTGTCCATTAGTCCACTAAATTTTTGCTTTTCTAAAATAATGCCACCATGATTAGTAAAATAACAAGGGAACAATATCATGTAGATTGATTTTATTTTCAGTAAAATGATTCAGGGGCCACAATTCTAGAGGCAGCCTGGAATGCAAAAAGCCTTCAAATGCTAATATAGGATGAAGTCATTGACTTCCCTGGGATTCCAAACTGGGAGGAAACTTAAGGGATTAACCATAAACAGTTCAGTTATTTATGCTTTGGCTATGACCATAACCTGACTCTCACTAAAGTACAAAAACCTCCACACAAGCCTCTAATAGGAATATCAACTGGTGATGTTTTTCTTCTATATGTTGCCTTCTAAGTCAGATGACTGATTAGAAAAAATGTTTAACAATTTGGTATCATTTGAATATGACCAAGAACAACTTAGCAATTGTTTCCTTCCAAAGTTCTTCGGGTTTAATAACTCTTCTGGGAAATAGTATGTTGTAGTGGAAAGTGCACAGATTTTGGAGGCCAACAGAGCTGTTTTACATCCTGGCCCTGCCACTTGTTCTTTAATCCACTTAACCTTTGGGCTTTTTAGTTCTTCATCTATAAAATGGG